TCCCAGCTGCTGGGATTCTCCCTCTTTGTGGAAACCTTGTAAAATAAGAGAGAATAGGCATAAGTATTGTGACATAATGTGTAATAACAGCCCATAATGCAATAAATATCGATATAAAAGCATGATGCAAAATGGACGTATCAGCTAGGGTTTGCCGGCGATGGGGGAGGGAGTGTGGCTAGATGGGGACGGGGGGCTGGCTGGATGAGGATGGCCCCGTTGCACGGTCGTCTTAAAAAAGGATGACCGCCATCGCTGATGCGTGGGCCCGAGGTCATAAATTAAGCTGACCAGATAGGTGGCGGGCAGTTGGACGACCGCCAGGTGGGGCCGCAGAGGACATCGAGAAGGGCGTGTGTCGTCCGTTCCGCTTCCGCGCCAACGCATTTGGGGCGCAAATTTGGGCCGCAAATGCGTCGGCGTGAACGCGAAGCGGACTTGATTTGAGTTTGTGTCGGCATGCTGGGCCTCCTCTTTTGTCTGCGCCGGCCCAAACGGATGGTGGCGGATGAAATGGGTCGCCCCGTTGGGATTGCTCTTATTACTTGCAAGTTTTCTTTTAATTTCCTCCTTCCTTCATGCCCCTAATGAACTCCTTTAGTATTATGTAGTAACCTTGGTTAAATATATAAAGTATATGTTGTCCACACTGCTTCTTCTGCATAAAATTGAATCTCCCACCAACTTGTGCTTCATGTGAGGATGTCCAGTCCATCAACATATTGCCATTGCATCTTAGAAGTTTTGTTTTATCTTGAGATTTATGTGAAACTAAATGGTAGTAGTATCATCTTTCCTATTTGATTAGGTACCGTGTATCTCCTCTTTCAATTGTGTGCTGCAATTCAACATATATTTATGTTCTCACTTTGTGTTTCCCTAATGTATTTTGATCCAATCCAGCTAGACTGTGCTGCAAAAGGCATGCAAGGGAACAATGAATTTTTGTGTAAGCTTTTCACACACTAGGGAGTGCATCAATTGGTCAATGTTGTTTTAACCAATGCATGATATTAAAACATTATAACATTATTTCTAACAAGAGGATAATAAACGGATATTGCATGTCCATGAAAGGTGGCTAGTTTTTTTAGATCCTTACTAGTCTCATATCATTAAATTGAACAATGATGACACATCCTTTGACGATGAGGTTTGCCACTTCAAATGATGAATGATTTCTTAGCCCTTTACGTGGTAATGGAGAAGTGTTATTCCAAATAACTCAACACACCAGAAATACACCCTGGGAGGAGCACTAGCCTCATGCGAGCGATTGAAGCCCTCTCAGGGATATATAACACCCTCCACCTCATTGGTCTGCTTCAATCACACTATTAGCTAGCTTTGAATAAGATGATCTCTCTTCCTCTACCCTCCCATCATCGGAAGTTGAATGTTCAATCACATTACACTATCTAAAAATGAGAGGTCTTGGGAACAAACCCTTCCATTTTGTGTTGAACAATAAAAGAGTTGACTTTGCATTGCACTCATAAGGAGGAGGATAATGTCATGTAGTACATGGATATTCAAGTGAAGCAACATAAACACGTAGAAGTGGAAGGTTTTGAAGGGCATTCACCCTACCCATTGCAATGTAAAGGGGCTAAATTGAGTAGCTTATCAAACAAGGCCCCGAGTTATCTCTTCGAGCGATACATGGAGGTCTATTCTAAATGTGATGGGACATGTTTGTAATGGTATGTAATCACTAGATGTTTTTATGAGCAATTTTTTTTATGTTCCTTAAATAGATACCACGATTGTATAAACCACAAAATGAAAAATAAATGCAAACCTATAGGAAATGTCAAAAATGAAACAACTTTTGAAACCAATAAACTAAGAGAAAAGAGAATGACTACTTAGACTTTTTCTACCATTTCAGTTTCACTTAGGATCTTGTGCTCGTCAGGGTGCAAAACACACTTATGAAAATCTAAAGGCTCTCATGCTTGCCTACTTTACAGGCTTCGGCCCTTCACCATTTTCCAAAACAAAATCAACTTTAAAATTTTATAATGTTCATTTTAGTGCACCCCTGAAGGCAAACTGATAGACAACAACTCAAAAATATCATACGCTGCATGCCATGGGAAAACTAGTTGTGGTATATCAATCGAGCATCATAAATGCTCTTAGTACAAGTATCATGCAGTGCAATTGGTTATAGGATTATAAAGTCTATGAGACATGTTAAACATTACATGGCATGTACCACCACACATCCAAATGATGAAACATGTCACACATCTCGAAAGTACTTTTCACACTACATTATTCCAAGACTTCTACAACCAAGGTATCCTGCATCCTAATCTTAACAAAACTTACATTGCTCTAATTCCCAAAGAAGAAAAGGACAATGCTCATCAAGATTTTAGACATTGGCTTGTGCAATATTGTTTATAAAATCATCACTAAAACATTGGTTGGCTCAAAATTCACCTCCCAAATTATATCCATGAAACCGAACAAGCTTTCATTCAGGGTAGAAGAATCCCCAATAATATTATCATTGGCCAAGAGATCACACATTCGTTTCAACTATCATAAATCTATTATTTTAAAAATTGATTTAGCTAAAGCTTTTGATATGATAGAATGAAACTTTATTCATATGGCTTTGTTACGTAAAGGGCTACATGGTCATTTCATAAAATTGATATATGAATGCATCTCCACTGCCTCTTTTGTTGTCAACATTAATGAACAACCATTTGGCAACTTCAAAGTATCATGAGATATCCATCAAGGTTATCCTTTATCGTTGTTTCTCTCTGTTCGTGTGGTTAATGAATTGTCTCGCTTTCCTTGCAAGAAGCTTAAATGACAATCATTTTAGCGGTATTCAATTGGGTCCTTCTTGTCCCCCTATTCACCTGTTGTTGTTTGCAGATGACTTGGTAATTTGTGGCAAAGCAGATAACAACGATGCTGCTATTGCTCAAAGTGTTAATCAATTTTACAACATTTCAAGCCAATCTCCTAATTGGGGAAAGTCTGCTATTTTATTTAGCAAACATACTAATAATCCTCATAAATCTTCAATTGAATCCATCTTTCCTGCCCATGGTATGAATTCCAGCACCCTTCATTTAGGTTACTCTTATTCTTCCAAGTAATAGAAGATCTGCGGCCTATGAGTTTCTGATCGACAAGTCGAAGGCTAAGTTAACAAGTTACAATGCAAATAGATTATCTCATGCTTGCGGGCTAACCTTAATAAAATATGTTTTTTTCTTTAATTCCATTCTACCACATGCCTTCTATGCTTCTAAGAAAAAGTATTTTAACCAAGCTCACCTCTACTGTTTGTAAATTTTGGTGGACACAAATTCAAGAAGATAATGCTTCTAGGCCCCTTTGTTTTAGGGCCTGGGAAGAATTCTGCAAACAATTTAGTGAAGGAGGTTTGGGTATTAGAGACATTTCCTTGATGAACATAGCTTTAATTGCTATGGCTATTTGGCGACTTATCAAAGAACCTACGGAGAGCTATTTGCCTTGTTACCTGTCAACCCAAACAAGTATGGAAGAACAAATATTTGGTTCCTAGAGTAAAAACTTTTGCCTGGCGTCTTATTCGCAAGGCTATATCTTCTGGGTTGTGAGCTTCCAGGTTCTCCACTCATATAAAAAAGGAGTGTGTGTTTTTTGCGGGTAAAAAAGGAGTGTTACAGGTGTGGTATGCCTGAAACAAATTCTCATATTTTCTTCCTCAGTTTAGTTGCTAGAGTTATCTGCTTCAAGTGGGGGATTAAAACAGATGCTTTTGATCATAATGCTTACCCCCTCTGCTATAATTCAATCTCTCTTATCCTTCTCCCACCCTGAGTGTTCTTTAGATAAGATCAACGCTCTTCTTTGGAACATTTGGAAAACTCGCAATGATATTCTCTTTAACAAAAAAAAAATCTGGACTCCTCGGGAGTGTGGCTGAAATTGCCTTCTTCTGACCACTCTATCTTTGTTTGCTCCACGCTTTGGGTTGGACTGAAGTCTCATTTCTCCCGGATTGCAAAGTTTTGGCGGAGGCGGTTGAAGCTAATGACCTGTTGGCCAAGCCTGGACACTGGAGGTTAATTCCAGCAAATTTCTTTCATGTTGCTTCCTCTCTGAATTCCTTCAAGATCTCTCACATTCCTAGAACTTTGAATCTGGTAGCTCATTCTCTTGCCAAGAGAGCTTGTAGGCATCGCTCTACCTCCTCTGTTGTAGTTTCAGATGCAGTGAAGCTTCATGTAAAACTAAAATGCCTCTTGAAGCCATGACTCTCCCTACTGGGAGACTTCTGTCTGTACATAGCTTTGGATGTTAATGAATAATCTAGCCCTCTTTGGAGGGCCACAGTTTGCAACACACACAAAAAAACATGGGAGAACTCGTACAAACCAACACAAAATTGTCTGCTTTGCTAGTTTGCATCCTATACCTGTTTCAAAATTGTTAGGAAACAAAAAAAACCTAACATGTTTGGGGGCATATAAATTTTAAAAACATAATGGAAACCACATGCAAATAAAGTTACAAACTATTGTATCCAAACATTAGAGCAGAACCGGCATGTATCTTACAAATATCCTCTCTAAATTCCGCCTTTCTAACTATTGAGCAGAACCGGCATGGCGCTGCAAGTTCAGCAGATGTACAATCTTACATTCACACAAAGTTTACAACACTTGTCATCCAATGAACCACAGGGTTTAGCGAGTGCAAAAGCTGTTAGAAATAGTAAGTATCCCTCAGTTGCTTTCGGTGAGTGTGCATCATCAGCATATAGGTCGTGCTTCTGGAGTAATGACCAGTGAAACATTTGAGGATATTTCTAGATCTTCGCGAGCCCAGCTTCTTTGCCTAATTTCGGGTTCACCCTGAATGGGATTGGCAGAACAGAGCTAGGTTTTCTCCATGCTTCTGTAGTTTCAACTGTCAATCCTTTTTTTTCAAGCCAGGACCAGTTTGAACCGCCTTTGCAATACATATTTACAGAAACTTTATGGCTTTAGTTCAGCTGCCTGACTATTGCCATTGTTCATGTGATCCTTTACATAGGTTCGAAGGCATCCGTTGATTACCCGAGGAGCACCTCCATCACAAAACCGCTTTGCCAGATCTACCGCCTGAACAATAATGAACAAGGGGGCACATATATTCAATGCTTGTATGCCAAAACCATAGATATGAAGGACAGGCAGAGAAAATAATAACCTCATTAATTGCAACTTTGTGAGGAGTTCCTTTCGATGTCATCTCTGCCATGGCAATATGAAGAATGCAAAGTTCTAGGATCCTTGCAACAGGTTCATCCTGCCAATGAAAATGTTCAATGAATGAGCAAAAGAATATTGATGCAACTTAGTAAGCAAACCAGAGTGCAAAATACGAATGGGTAAATTAGTAACTGAGCCGGTGATAAATCACAGGCAGAAGTTCAGCAAGCAAGCCATTATTTCACATAAAGTAAGTGAGCTGGTGAGCTTTAGGAGCGAGTCAAATTTTCTTTTGCTGGCAACAGTTCAGATATTTCAAGAAAGTAGTAGCACCAAAATTCATGCCACACACGTCAGCTTCCTATTGATTACTGAATCACTCGCCCATTCTTGGGACTGAAACAAAAACACATCATGCCCAATTTTGTAAGACAAAATTGAGAGACCCTACTCCAACACACTGAATAGGTAAAGGCAAACAAATGATCCTAAATAACCATCCAGTTTCACTCACTACTGGTATTTGTGTCGTGATTTTTCCGTGCACTGAGCCAAAGATATTTGAATTCACAAACTAGTAAACCACGTTTGAACTTGGACGCCTGATAATACATGCCTTTGGACCGAACTTATAAACATATGAGCAACTTGAGGCACACTTGGAGGGATTTGAAGGACCAATATTCAAATTGTGAAACAAGTATCAACCTTCCAATGTTGGGGAATTATTTTGTTGATAACTTCAACATGCTGATCCCATCCACTGGCAACTGCCACTAACATGTCCCGGGCCAATCTGAGACAGAAAATATCTAATTAGAAAAGGTACTTTTTGTAAGAAACCTGAACAAGCATTACATAGATATTCGACTATATCTAATCATACCGTAACACAAAATTGTTGTACACCAGCCTTGGAGGAGCTGAAAGAACTTCTGCTTCTGAATTACAAGAAAAACAATTAAGCAAAATTATGCTAAACTCTTTCCAAAAGAACTAAACACTACTGGAGCAACTTGTACAGAAAGCTCCTCCAAATACTCCGTTCTTTTCAGTTTTTTTTTAAACATAAGTGTTTACACCACAGTTAACACGAGCTATATTCATGTCTACAGGATATACTGAAGCCGAACTGGTATTGACCAGATCATTAAATTAGAAGGATAAAAGGACAGACCAGGTGCATAGAAGCTCCCACACAAGGTGGGGTCTGGGGAGGGATTACAGGAACCTAGTCTTACCCCTGCAAAGTGCAATGCAGAGAGGCTGGTTCGAACCCAGGACCTCTTGGCACAAGTGCGGAGGACTTCACCACTGCGCCAGGCCTGCCCTCATTAAATTAGAAGGATGAAATAAGAAATTTGTTAACTACTACAGTTTTGCGTAGCTTTTACTGTACTTGCTATACTAACAAGACCAACAATTTTAGGTTGATCTCGGTTCAAAATATTAAATCAAGCTGAGTTCAGCAATGATCATCCATGCTTAAGACTGAGACACTTACCCATGTATAAACAAAACATAACCAAAATGTAATTGCATAATCGAGACAAAGTGGAGGTTACATATTGCCGTCCAAGCAGGAGAAAAATACTTGGCATGACAAAAAATGGAACGCTGTCCAGACAGCCAGATAAGGGCGATGCCTAGATGATATTGCTTTTATATTTTATCACTGAACTTTGAAGGAATTGCACTGCAAAATTCAGATTAAGGCAAGCTTTTAGGGTATGCACACTTTTTAGGTATCTTAAGGCACGGTCCAATCTTTCTTCAAGCTTCAACTTTCAATGCAGAAAATTCACCCCAGCAGCAACTTGATTTTTTTCATAATTTCCTTCTTGTTTCGTGTATGCGCGCATTATTATACCCTTATCCTAGTAGACATGATTAAAGCATGATGAAAAGCACATGACATATCCTTATCCTAGTAGGACATAAAAGGAACAGTCTTCCAATGCTAACATCGAATTTGCAGCAGTGATCAAGTTCTCTGAAGAGTTCACAAGATCAGGATTTGTGGTAATATATACAGGTTTTGCCCTTTGCGTGTTGATGCAGTGGTTCATTTGCGATAGCTTAAACCCTCCCAATGCACAAGCATTTTTTTTACAAATAATTACACAGCTGACCACAACGTGAGCAAGTCGCATAACGTTCCATATTCCCAATTTACATTCAGCAAGTTGCAGCTCCAGTTTCAATCAGACTAGCATTTCAAAGGTCAAGTTGCATGGTCATAGTCATTACCGTTTGCCGAATCCTTCTCATTCTGACTCATGAGCTTCTCGGCCTCCTCCTCCGTCGCAACCTCCAGAGGCCCCCCACAGAAGCTCATGAAATTGTAGCTCTGCACGCACGCCTTGTTGAAAACATACCCAGGCTCTGCAAAAAGTTCAGAATTTAGGACAGATAGCAAAAATCCACAGTGGAGAGAAATGAGCTAGGAATCCGAGCAGCTGGACACACACGGACTATAGCAGCAGAGATTAAGGGGCGGGCTACCTCTTCTCGCGGCCACCCGGCGGTCGAAGTGCCGCACCACGTCGGCGCCCTCCAGGCACGCCGCGTAGGAGACCATCCTGCAACAACGGCGGCAGGCAGCGTCCATCGAACCCATGAGCACCGCAAACCAGACCATGAACCGAGGGAGAAAGCTGGGTTAGCTAGGGAAGGGGCACACTCACAGCGCGAGCTCGCGCGCGGCGCGGGGGCTGCAGAAGCGGCCGGAGCGATCGACCTTGGCGTGCCCCGGAGCGGGGGCGGGCGTGGGCGGCGGGCTGGACACGACCAGCGGCGCGCGGGAGGAGGCGACGGTCCGGGCCGGCGGCAGCGGCGCACGGGCGCTGAGGAGGCCGCGGCGGTGGGTTCTGGGTGCCACGGAAGAGGGAGACGAGGAGGAGGAGGAGGAGGAGAAGGTGGAGACGGCAGCCGGCGCCACCATTCTGTACGGCCCGGCGGTGGCCGGCGAGAGAGGAGGGGAGGGGGAGGGGGAGGGGAGCCGGCGAGAGGTGGTGGAGCTGGAAATGGAGGAGGCAGGGGATAGCGAGGGGATAAGGTGGGGGTTTTGCCGGGTGATCTGCATGGGCCGCTTGGGCCAGGAAGGACCCCTGGGTCGGAAGATTTAAGCCAAACGGCCCAATAGTGCACCCTCTGAGCTCATCTCTCTAAAAAAACATCATTGATCCCGTCCAATTGCAGCCTCTTTACTGAACTCTTTGGAGTATTTCTTCGAGCAGAAATTGATACCGCGAAGAAGGTGTTTTCAAGAGCTAGTTGCAATGGTGTTTCCATCATTATTCAGATGTGTATAAACAAGACACTCCATCAGTAGTCATACAAATTAAAGCAAAAAATCCCGTTGAATCTTGAGTGGTAATACATCAAAATTCAGCTACAAGTTTACAAAGGAGGAGCTACAAAGTCAGAGAGAAAATTCTGTACATCAAGAATTAGGAGGGGCTACAACTTCACACTCTAGAATCAGATACTACTACCTAGACAGAATTTACATGAAAATTGCAGCACGCTTTTGCTGGACGGGCTCCCTACATACACATACAAGATACGACCCACCAATCGCACAACATCGGCAACGGAACTAAGGCATTATGCCAATTTACATGAAAACCTCGGCGTCACCGTGGCTATTTCGCTGAGGGATAGGAACGGGAGGGGATAAGCCAATACTCAAAAAACCTGACAACATTACTAGGAAGTAGGGAGACTTTGTGCTAATTTGTGTTTAAGTTGCTGGTGGGAGCTCTTGCTTTGAGCAGATGTCGTTTGCTACAGATCCAACGGGGTGGGATCAAAGTTTCCAGATTTTCACTGGAATCAAGTTTTCACTTGATACGTTTTAGTCTATATGTGTTTGCCAATCTATTAAAACATCATGTCTAGACTAGTGCTGCACAAGTGCTACCAACAGCCACAGCTACAAATTTACAATGGATCATGCAGTTAAAATGTCGTATGTAATTCTAGCATATATGCACACCATATTTGCCAAGCTATTAAAATTGGCTGATTCGCGGATTGCAACTAGTCCCTATTGTCATTCGGCAGGGAGTTGACATCCGGGGTCACGATGGCATGCCGCTTCTCGGACTCCCCAAGTTGGCAGCAATGTTTCCTTCTAGTGTTCATCGCCACCTCGTGCTGTTGTATCCCACATTCTATGCCTGGGCTCACTTGCAACACAAGAACCCAAGCGGTAAGCATGGCCACACATGTAGATATCTTGTTGGCATACTTGACCTATTCCCACATGTTGTGATGTGCGTATAGTAATATGATCGTTCAAATGATTGTAACTTGCCAGGAATAGTCGCCATTGCATCCTTACATTTTCAGTTTGTACTTGTTTGAAAAATCAACAGCTGGTGTATTATCTTGGATGATTCACTGCCACTAAAATAATATTTAACTATCCTTTTGATACTTCATTCGATGAAAAATTAACATCCGGTGTATTTTCTTAAACTATGCAATATTCAACTAACTGGTATAACAACCTCCAGCCTTCCACTGGATAGCTTGTGGAGCTTGCATTGGTTGTAATATCTACTTCTACATTATGCTGTTGGGTGCCAATGATTCTTCTCTTTGCTTTTGGTTTGGTTGGTAAACTGTGTGCCTTTTGCGCTATCTCTGATAGTGGAACCTGGAGCAAATTATTGTTGTTGCGTCACATGGAAGAAAAAAACACTTTTAGCCTAAAAATGAGCGAAATCATCAGAACATTTTTTTCTTGACCGTATGTCTTGACCATGACATAAAGAAGTTTATGTCTTTCTTATAACACTTTTTTAACCCCAAAACACCCTTGATATGCTCTTTTTTCTATTTTTCAAGGCGTGGGAGCAATTTGTTGGATGCCTGAAAGCACAAGTGCTCCCTGGGTGATTTTGGTAATTAATGACAACATATCTCTTGTTGGACTAATGTTTTCAGATAGTATGCTTCAGATAAGTTCAACAATGGAGTGGCATGGACTAGAGGATGTGGAACCCCTTTAAGATGATGAGGACAAATGATTGGCTCAAGCTCAAAGCTCTGGACTCTACATTTTCTATTTTAGTGATCCAAGATCACATTGAGTCCATAGGAAAGCCAATACTATTAAAAGGAGATGAGATGTTGCTTAATGGCCTGCTTACTCAAAGTGCTTAGTGATATGCTCCAAAGCCCTCAACCACTTCCCCACATCCACATTTGTCCCAAACCAAAAGACAAACTCGGCCCTACCGAAACTTTCTATCCGGCGCCACCGAGTTCTGTTGACACAGCCACTGCCAGAAACCCTAACCAATTCGGTTCCACCGATGGGATCTCGGTCTCATCAAGATGGGCTTGCAAACTCTTTGTTGCCTATTACAATAATTTTGGTCCCACCAAAATATGCAATCGGTCTCACCGAGTTTGCTTGACCAACTCTCTGTTTCACTTATTACCCAAATCGGTCCAACCGAGTTTGTGTAATCGATCAAACCGAGATGAGGCTTTACCCTAACCCTAGCACATCGGTCCTACCGGGTTGATCATATCGGTCCCACCGAAACTCCTAACGGTCACATTATAAACTAAATCGGTCAGAATGAGTTTTCTGATTCGGTCCCACCGAGTTTGGCAAATTGTGTGTAGCCGTTAGAATTTGTGTGGAGGCTATATATAGCCCTCCACCCACTCTTCATTCGGAGAGAGAGCCATCAGAACGTGCCTACACTTCAGCATTCATTTTCTGATAGAGAACCACCTACTCATGCGTTGAGACCAAGATATTCCATTTCAACCATTTGAATCTTGATCTCTAGCCTTCCCCAAGTTGCTTTCCACTCAAATCATCTTTCCACAAAATCCAAATATGTGAGAGAGAGTTGAGTGTTGGGGAGACTATCATTTGAAGCACAAGATCAAGGAGTTCATCATCAACACACCGTCTATTACCTTTTGGAGAGTGGTGTCTCATAGATTAGTTAGGTGTCATTTGGGAGCCTCCGTCAAGATTGTGGAGTTGAACCAAGGAGTTTGTACAGGCAAGGAGATCGCCTACTTCATGAAGATCTACCCTAGTGAGGCAAGTCCTTCGTGGGTGATGGCCATGGTGGGATAGACAAGGTTGCTTCTTCATGGACCCTTCGTGGGTGGAGCCCTCCGTGGACTCGCGCAACTGTTACCCTTCGTGGGTTGAAGTCTCCATCAACGTGGATGTACGGTAGCACCACCTATCGGAACCACGCCAAAAATCTTCGTGTCTCCAATTGCGTTTGCAAACTCAAATCCCATCCCTTTACATTCTTGCAAAGTTGCATGCTTTACTTTCCGCTGCCCATATACTCTTGTCATGCTTGCTTGATATGTATTGTGAATGTTTAAACATGTGTTAATACTCCACCTCAACTTGAAGAAATTAAAAACTGCCACTTTTCTTTGCTAAGTGTCTATTAACCGCCCTCTAGACACCTCTTCTCGATCCCTTTCAATTGGCATCAGAGCTTTGGTCTCCATTGCTTTGGTTTAATCACCATTGGAGGAAGATGGATGAGTCTACGTTGGGGAGTCTTAGACATAGAGTGCCTATTCTTGATGGAGAGTACTTTCACGAGTGGAAAAATCAGATGCTTGAGATTTTCAATGAATATCATTTGAACAAGTACATTGCTAGCCCTTGTGCACCTCATGTTGATCCTTTGCATCCTACCCTTGATGAGTCTATTGACATGATCCGTAATCTTAGAACCGTCAATTTAATCACTAGAGGATTGCCTAGAAACTTGCTTGCTAGCGTGCCTGCTCTTGATTGTGCCTACACCATATGGAGATTTCTTGAGGAACGATTTCCAAACTATTCCTTGAAAAACTTAGATGAGATACTTCATAAGTATATTGCCTTGAGTAAGATGAGTTCCAATGATCCCAAATTTGGTGATTGTTTATTTGAGCTTACTAATCTTACGAGTACCAAAGGAGATGTTGGAATCATTAGCAATATCATTTCTGAAGTCATTATAATTCATAGAGATGAACATTGTTACGATCACACTTCTAATGAATCACTTTCTCTAGGAATTGATCCACCACATGACGATGTTAAACATGGATACTATGATGAGGATAACGATAGTGACTATGATCTTATGGCTAATCTTTGCGACTACATGGCTGGAGGAAAGGAATGGGTTCTTGATAGTGGGTGTACCGATCATATGACCGGAGACAAAGATATGTTTCGTGAGCTTGTTGAAAACGACGGCCCTCGAAAGTATGTCACCTTTGGTGATAACTCAAAGGGTAAGGTGGTTGGCCTTGGTAAGGTGGCCATCTCACATGATAGCTCTATACAAAATGTTATGATCGTTGAATCTCTTGGTTACAATTTACTTTCCGTATCTAGACTTGCTGACTTTGGTTTCAATGTCCTATTTACTGAAGTAGATTGGCAAGTGTTTCATAGAGATAATCATAAAATGGTCTTTACCGGTACACGTAGAGGTGATCTATATATTGTTGATTTCACTAGAAAGGCTCAACCTAGAACTTGCCTAATTGCTAAATCCTTGAAAGGTTGGTTGTGGCATAGAAGGTTAGGTCATGTGGGCATGCGAAATCTTGATAATCTTATTAAAGGTGATCATATCCTTGGAGTAAAAGGTGTTATATTTGACAAGGATAGACTTTGAGGTGCTTGTCAAGCAGGAAAACAAGTTGGAGGAAGTCACCCCGTGAAGAACATTATGACCACGAGAAGACCGCTCGAGCTACTTCATATGGATCTCTTTGGTCCCAATGCCTACAAGAGTCTCGGTGGTAACTCATTTGGTCTAGTTATAGTTGATGATTTTTCAAGATTTACGTGGGTGTTCTTTCTTGATGATAAATCCCAGGTCCAAAAGATCTTCAAGAACTTCGCTAGGAAGGCCCAAAATCAATTTGAAGTGAAGA